TGACATGTTGTTTGTTTGACTCCAGGTTACCCTCCGCTGCCCAGCAGCCTGTACTCCAGCCCTTATATGTCACTGGGACACCTTGATCCCCCCTCGCTCTCTCAGCACCCGCTCTATGATTCACACAAAGGTCAGTTCTTTTCACCTGATGTTCGTAAAAAGAGAAAAATGGCTGCATATCTCTCCTTATTTTATAAAGCAGTCGTATAGAATTCTCAAGGTGTAACATTTTTATTTCTGTGATTTGTGCGAATGTCAGAGTCTCACCCATTTTATTTCAAGCTTCTTTTTCTCTCTCTGTTAAAATGCCAAAGTCAAAATGTGAACATTTTCTACTCACTTTAAAAGCAAATGTCTGTGTTTAGGTCTCATGTTTTACCTTTGTATCCTACAGAGGCGTTTTACCTGCCGGCCTCCCTCAGCCAGTCCTCTGTCCACCCGACTGCCCCCTCCAGCTCTACACCCCCTCAGAGGATGAATCGGGATTGCGGAAGAGACCGTCTCTACCAAAGGGAAAGGGAGAAGGAAAAGGAGCGGGAAAGATTGAGAGAGGAGCAGCGACCGCACAGTGTGGTGGACCTGACGCAAGAAGGGAGGAGCGAGGAAGACCGCAGGGCGAGGAGTGGAGACCGGGACAGAGAAAGGGACAAGGAGAGGGAACGAGACTCGGACAGAGACAGGGACATTTTGTCTTTTCATCCTCACCTTCACCAGCAGAAATCACACTCTCACTCCTCCTCTATGGTGGAGCACCGGTCCAGGCCGTCTCCTCCACAGCCCTCTATTGCTCCAGGTGGAGGCTTAAGCAGGCTCCACCTACCAGAGACTGACAGGGCGGGGCGGGAGGAGGACGGCAGCTCCCGACCTCATCACAATCATAACTCAAATCATAACTCGAACTCTCAATCTGACAGACTGAGGAAGAGTGACTCTGCCGCTGCATCAGTCGGGGGTCTCCATTTGTCCTACGGCCTGCCCCGCGGGCTGCAGCCGTCCGTTCTGCCCCACCCTTGCACACCCAGAGATTCTTTCAGAGAGCAGAGAGTCAGTGCCCCGACGTATGTGCCTTCTGTGGAGGTTTATGACGAGCAGGTCGGGCCCATCCAGATCGCCTCTCAGGCCCGTGACAAATACAGAGAACGGGAACGAGAGCGCGAACGGGAGAGGGAACGAGAACGCGAACGTGAACGGGAGAGCGACAGGGTGAGAGAGAGCTTTAGGTTTCCCGAGAGGAGCCTCCCAGATCACCCTCGACTCTCCCAAACCGGCGATTTGAGCAATCAGAGAGAAGAAGGTTCTGTCATTTGTTCCAATGGTTCCGTTGGAAGACGAAGTCAGGACGTGTCTTACTGTTCCAGTCAATCAAGGTTCAGCCCAGAAAGTAGGGACATCTCGAAACACTCAATGAGATTGAGCGTCGAGCGGGCAGGGGTGGAGCCTAAGTGGAATAACATCAGTCCGTTGGCTAACTATGCTACTAGTCACATGGCTGCGCTGGCAGCACAGCACGGACACACACTTCCCTCACCCCACAGCCAACCCACACAAACACAGATGTCCCACTCCCCTCAGACAACTCACCGGTCCGTTGCAAATGCACACTCCCACAACCATTCTCCACAGACGCACACGGGGTCTGGGCCCGGCGAGGAGGGGAGTCAACGACGCTACCTAGACCCGACGGCTCTCTACCGACCCGGATCACTGGTGGGAGGTTCAAGCGGTGGGGACGGAGGCGGGGGCTCTGAGCCCCCGGAGGTGTCAGCCATGCAGAGTCTAATCAAATACAGTGGGAACTTTGCCGCTGAAGGCCCTGGGTCGTCCAGACACGCCACAGATGGGAGAGTGCCCTTCGGCGGCCTGGGTAGCATCGTCATGGACGCTGAAAGAGAAAAGGAGCGAGAGCGGGAGAGGGAGAGAGACAGAGACAGAGAGAGGCTGGCGGTCGGCTTGAGTGGCCCGGGGTCATTAAGGGTACCTCCTGCGCTCAAGAGAGAACAGGAGCGGCCGGACAGCGCCCGTTCCTTTGGCCGTGAGGGCGAGGGCGAAGTGCGCCACCCTCCGGTTGGCATTGCTGTAGCGGTGGCGCGGCAGAGGGACAGTGGGAGCTCCGGCAAAACAACAAGTGGGCCTCCAGAGACACAGCGACCCCTACTGCAAACGGCTATTAAAGGTAAGAACCCTTCTACCCTTTTTTTTCCTGTTCACACCAATGCCAGTTGGAACCCAAGTCTGGTTTAAATTGTTCTTGACTGATGTGAATGAAGCGTCGCCCGACCCTCCACTCCAACACATTCTACGTTTCTCACAATCTCAAACTATTTGCGCTCGATTTATAATAGGAATCATTACTTTACTATTTCTGCTGTGCTTCACAGAACGCTACTGCGGAGAGCACAGCGACTCCCTCAGTTAAATGGTCCATAATAAGAGGTTCTTTATCACGGTGCCCCGTGAATTATAGAGTTCTCCTTTTCTCTTAGAACAAAGTCGTATTTCTCCACTTCCCATTTGACTGGTATATGTTCCCCTTAAGTTAAAACAACTTACTCAATCATGCCATGGGAGGTAATTTTTGGAGAGTCTCTTTTTGGCAGGACACTTGGCGCTCTTTGCTGCATTGCAATTTCCACTCCATCCTCGGGACGACAAGGTCACTCAGCGACCACTACGTCTCGCTCTTTTCAGTCCGTTTTGTTTCTCTCTTCTTTCTTAGCTGCATGTTTACCATGCTCTCCTCTAAGCCTCTTGCTTTTTGCGTTTTATTCATTGAGTGCTTGCCTCCTCCTCTGGGGTCTTTTAAGAGTTCCTTACCTTCTTGTCCCACTTCAGGACCCCATCTCTTTCTCCACTCCACTATTTCCTCCCCTCCACCTCCCCCGTCCTCCCCCATCATTACATTACAGAGTGAAGCTAAAAGCAACAAACAAGCCTTGAATTACAATAAGACTGTGTGCGTTGCTAAGCAATAGATCAGATTTGAGAGTGACGGACTCTGTGTGTGTGTGTGTGTCAGACGCAGTGCGTGTAGAAGGAACTGCAGCTACTACACCCTTGATGTTATGTCATCTCTGTTGGGGGTTAATTCATTTCCTGGCTGGAGCAGAGTGATTGGTTCTAATAGCATTAGTGGCTCGCTGTCACAGTGGCTCGAGAGACACGGCGGAGAATTTACACTGGGGAAAAAAACATAAAAACATAAATAACCGGAGGGACAAGGAGAAGGAGGTGATGGAGGAAGTGATCATGAGATGGGAATGTGATCGATGGGTGGACGGACAGGAAGAGAAGTGTGTGAGGAGCCAAAGGAATGAACAGAGTGTGAGGTGAAGAAACTGATAAGGAAAGGTGTGTGTGTGTGTGTCTATGCATGCAGAGGGTAATCTGTGTGTTTCTGATGCAGAGAGGAGAGCATGTGGGACAGGCTCTCTGTAACCTTGGTAACAGTGTTGAAACCTTTCTCACAGAGAGCATGTCAGATTGTTTAAGTCTCTCTGGTTTCCTTTTCCAAGCTATACACACACACATATGCACATAAACACACACACACTGTCTCTTCTTGGACAGATATTGTATAAAACTTACTGCTGCTGCTGCTCAGGGACCTTCAGTCAGAGCTGATGAGGTGAGGGACGGTTGAATGGAGAGAGGGTGAGGAGAAGATCCTCATGTTTATTCTGGATGAGTTACTGGACTTGTGCTGCTTCACTACTACTACTACGAATACTACGAATACTCTCTCTCTCCCCTTTCTCATTCTCAGCTGCTCTTTCACAGACACTTGCCGTTGGCAGCCATAATAAGCAACATGGGTTTGAGACCATGGCTATGACTGTCAATGATAGTCAAAACCAATAAGTTATATGAGCATCCCATTGACTGAGACTGAATAATAATCACCTGTGATAGTATCCAACATTCTTCAACCAAATCGAGAAAATATTCAAGTCTTTGCTCATGCAAACAAGTCACAGTATTTACCATCCAGTCCTTGTTTCTTGTTTCTTGTTTTCTGCCTGTTGTCTCTCTGTGGTATGTTTAGAACGTCAGCGCGGAGGCTGACACCGAGGTGAAAAAATAAACACCACAGGGCAGAGCAGTCTGGCAGATCGAGTGCTGTTAATTGCCCTATTCAAGCGGCTTCACCGACACGTAAAATCCTGGGCATGTTTGCTAATTCCAGTGTGGAAGAATTCTCTAGCCAGTATTGACAGTCGGTCTATTTGCAGCTAGCATACATTAGGAAAAAAAAAAAAAAAGATTATTATTTTGTGAAGTCACAAAAATATCCTGCCAGGGAATCTCATTTTTGTACAAATTATGTTGCTAAATGTGACAGTGTTAGATCACACAAAAACATACTAACGACTACAGAATCAAGTCCCTGTAGTTTCCCCGTTTGATCTTTTTTTTTTTCTTTTAAATCCTCTTTTCTAGTTTCCCCGTTTGATTTTTTTTTTTTTTCTTTTAAATCCTCTTTTTATCTCACAGATGAGGAGCGTGTGGAGGAGCGAGCTCATCATCGTGACGACAGATTGTTAGCCAGTCGACTGGAACGAGAACAGGAGAAAGTCCTCCGGTGAGTCGGTGTGAATGACCACACCTGTAGTTTTTTATTTTATTTTTTTTACTTCAGGGCATAGTATCCTATGACTATGGCAATGAATAAAAAAAATTATGAATAAAAACAACTGTGGTTTCCTTACAGAGAGCCCAAAGAGCTGGCGGATTATACCCAGATGCACCCTGCTCCTTTGTCTGGTGGCCTGACACCCAGTATGATGACACCCAGTCTCATGACCCCCAACCTTATGGTGACGGGGTCAGGGCGATGGCCTCCAGACCCATCAACTCTGACCTCTCACCCCTGGATGCCCCGGCCTGGTGCTCCCCCAGTCTGGCTGTCCAGCTCACCATACAGTATGTGGACACACTGGAAAACCTTTCACCTGTCTGATCTGTTCTGTTTAATTCCATTCAGTGCATGTTTTTGGCTCTGGTCACACAAGAGTGAACATCAACCAAACACCAACACATGGCTTCGCCGCTGCCTTGTGATTGGTGGAGCAGAAAGGGAGGTGTTTTTTTTTCTTTTTTCTATCTGTCAAATATCCAGCAACAGCCTCCAGGGGTCAAGTGCCACAGACATTCCTGATCTTTGCAGGACATTCCAGTCTTCCTCCTCCTCCACAATCAATCCTTCTCCAGAAATAACAACATCACTGCACATCTACTCCCGTGCTTCTTCTTCTTTTTTTTTTTTTTTGTGAACCTTCACATACCAGCTGAAATTACGGAACCACATGCACACAGGCACGCACAAACACACACCCAGAAATGTCCCCAAAGCCCAGCTCTGTCTAGACACTTGGGGCAAAAAAAAAAAAAAAACAAGACAAAAACCTCTGAAATGCTGCTAGACTTGGTGTTTGCTTTTGTGTGTGAACTTCATGGTAGATAGAAGCTGAGTGAATGTTAGTTTTACCTTCACCTTCCATCTCTTCACATTTTCTTTATAATATTTGTCTCTAATTGAAACCTCTTTTTTTTTCCGTTTCTGCTCATCTGTTCAGGTCTGGGACCGTCCTCACTCCATCAGACTCTCCCTCCAGGCTACCCACCCTCTCTTCCAGGCTCCTTACCCCCATCATACCAGTTTGCCAGGGACCCACAGTCTGGACAGCTCATAGTCATCCCTACTGAACACCTGCCACACTACGGTATGACAGCACTTCTGTTTGTGTCAAAGACAGGTTCTTCAACCGTTGTGGGCAAAATACCAATTAGTTGCAATTAAGCAAAATAAATATGTCTTGCAGTGTTGGGCAGTTGTTGGTATTTGGTTATCGATGTCGAGCGCCAAAGGCAATATTGTCTGTCTCCGTATGACACTGTGTGTAATCATTAAATGTATCCTCACAAATATTTATCCTTTTTTTTTTCCTTTTTCTTTTCCACTTTTTTAATGAGAGCAGAACTGAAGCTCGATTGTTATTGTTAATGCCCAGATCAGTTAAAGCAAAATAATGTCTTCTTCTGACTCCAAATAGATTTTGCCGCTGTATTCCTGCAGCTGGTCGCACGTTTACGACAAAATTTGATGAGAGTCCACTCTGGTCACTGCTGTCCATGACTAACTGCTGACAGTTAGTCATGTCCTTTCATTGTTTTCCCCTCAAAGGATGCTATGGTTCAGCCTAGTTGGTAGCCGGTGACGTGAGTGACATGAGGTTTCACGAGGCAGTGAGAAGTCTTTAATCCTTTAAAGTGACCTTTCACACACTTACAGAGGACTTTGTTTTGCTTTGGCGTAATCATGAAAGTGAAATGACTGGAGTGTAGACAAAAGAGACAGCAGCTGTCATCCAAGGAAACATTGTTTATCAAAACCACACATACACACACCTTACCAGACAATTGATGATTGTCCAATGGACCAATAGATGTACTCTATACATAAATGTATTTCTAAAAAAAATAAAATAAAATGCACCATTGATGCTCACCATAGAATGAAGATAGAGAAATTAAAAACAAAGCACACCGTGAGATGTCAATAAAAGACAAGATTAAAATTATTTTATAAATAAAAACAAATCAGGTAAATTATGGAGGCTAAACAGTAATGCAAAATAAAAAAATCAGGTAATTTATGGAGGCTAAACAGTAATGCAAAATAGTCAATCCTAATATAAATATCCACTACTCAAGATGTTTTTGAAAGGGGAAAAAATTATTTAAATTTGAGGCCGGAATTAGAGAATTGATTGAAATTCTTTGGCTTTTAAAACTAATGACTCCCTCAATATTTGACAGGCGGCGACGTGCTGGAGCGCGGGCCCCCAGTGTGGTCGAGTGTGTACGGTACAAGCAGCTCATTGCAACACGCGGCCCAACTCCAGCTCCTCTCTCAGCACCAGATGCTTCGGCAGCAGGAGCTGCTCATGATCCAGCAGCACGCGGCACAAGTACTGGAGTTACAAAGGAACGCACAGCTCGTCGTAAGTGTACAAAAAAAAGAAAAGAAAACACAGCAGAGAAGAGAGTTTCAGAACAGTGCACTCTTAACACCTTCAGCAGCAGCAGAGGCTCACGTTAGACATAGATTCAAAGCGCTGTCCTCTCACGTGTTGCAGGAGCGCTTAAAGGCCAGTGAGCATCGATCAGAAATGGAAGACAAAGCAGACAAGCGGAATACGGAGCCCAAACCCAGACCCTCCTCCATATCTTCTCCATCACCCTCCCCTGTGCTGCATCCTCGCAAGCCACCTCCTCACTCTCGTTCACCCACCCCGTCCACGTCTTCCCGTACCCTGCTGCCTCCACTCCCCTCAGCTGTGACCACCCTCAAGTCTGAGGAGGGGGGACAGAGAGTTCTGGTACCCTCGCCGGTGCCCTTGCCTCACCCGCCTTCCCCTCGCTCAGCATCTCCACCCCCGTTGTCGCCACGGCAGCCTAAACAGGAGACAGCAGAGGAGGAGGAGGAGATGGGCCGGAGGGAGCAGAGGGAGAGACGGAAGTTGGGCTCTACTCCTTTTCAGGGAATTTTCTCAGGTGTGTCTTCCATAAGAAAATAAAGGAATAGTTTTAATGATGTCAACGAATGTTTAAGACAAGGATTTGATATTGTTATAAAACCGGTCTCTCTGTTGTTACAGATGTTCCTCAGGGCTACCCATACCAGTCTCTCGCTCCCCAGTTTGGCTCATCTTTCCCACCATACCACATCCCCACAGCCACGACAGCAAACGCTGACCTGGCCCTGCACCACCGCTCCTCACCCTCGGCCGTGCCCGAGCCCTCGGCACATCTCCATTCTAGGCTTATTGAAAGAGACGTCAAGGCACAGAAACCAGAACCATCAAAAACAGGGTGTTTTCTCAAACAAGAACCTGACGTGGAGCGGTCTCCGCCGAACATCCGTCAGGAGCCTCGGCCGCCCCTTTGTCAGAGCTGCAGCCCTATAGGAGCCACCCAGGACAGGCACATAGACGAGGAAGCTCCCAAGCCTCAGCCACTACCTCTGTACGTCCCCAGCCTTTTACCACATCAAGACGAAAAACTGGAAGACGTCAAAGAGGACGAGAAGGAAGCAGGCCAAATAAAAATGGAAGTGTTATCGTACTCGTGTCAGGCAGCGTTTCCTTTACCTCCTCCACTCACAGAAGCCGAGGCCAAACCACAGGACATCAAGGAGGCCGAGCGGACGCCGTATTCCCCGTGCATCACTGCAGAGCCACACTGCCAGGAGTCTGACCGGAGTCACAGTGACCTACTAGAGCGGACCGCCAGTTCTGTGTGCGAACAGGAACGTCACCATGACACTCCACGCGACTCGCACACTCCCAGTCAGAAAGAAATCAGTGCAGAGACTCAGGTTTCTCCCGCTGTCATGTCCAACTCCCCACTCCCGCTGGTCACTCACGCTGAGGATCCGATGATGGGGTTGTTCACCCTGTTGACCGCTTGCGAGATGGCCAACCAGAGCCGTTCCGAAACGCCACCTGCTCCTATACTCCTACCTCAGGTAGAAATCCTTGCTGCCGGTGCAGATTGTAGCAGTGCAGGGAGTCTGGAGATGGTGGCGCTGGAGGGCATGGCCCTGCTCGCCCAAATGACCCCCAGAGACGTGGAGCAAATCAGCCTGGAGCAAGGTGAGTAAGCATGAGAAAGTGAGAGGTAAATGTAACAAAAGGCTGGAAGAATGGAGGCACCAGGAGCCGGAATGAATTTGATTTAAAAAAAAAAAACATATATAAATATGTTTGTTTTAATTTTGTAATTGTGATCTAATTTAGATTCAGAAATTGGGAGTCTGGACTGTCTTCTCGAAGCAAGCAAAACAATCCTGTTAGAGGCGATAAAGGAACAGTCCCACATTAATCTTCCCAGAACACTGGATCCCAATAAGAAGTACAGCTGGAGGCAGAGGAAGGAAGAGCCGGTACTATGACGACAAAATCAGTGCAGTGTAGAAAAAAAAAAATCCATCGAGTGGTAAAAACATTCAACAGTCTCCACTCTTATCCCCCCGCCCACCCTTTTTTCTCGCCCCGCAGCTGTATGGTAAAATGTCTGACATTTTGGATGCAGTGGAGGTGGAGTACCGTGTCCAACTGGCGGAGATACAGAAGACGTATAAAGAGAGACAGCGGGAGCTGAGCAAGTTGCAGAGACGCAGAGACAAGCAGTGAGTGCTACTGAGCTCGGCTCTCGTGAATTAAATCGATCAAACCACAAGTTCACATCTTTAAACTTTTTTTTTCTCCCCCCGTTCGTGCCAGCGAGCGACATCAGCAAGAGGATGAGAGGCGGAGTCTCACCAGACGGGGCAGAGGGCGACCGAGGAAGAGAAAACAATTGACCACGCCCACTAAAGTGGAGAGCCGACCTGGAAAGTGAGTGAATGTGACTGAGAATTGATTCTGGGAAATGAAAAATGCTCTGGTTTTAACCAGTGTAAAAAAAAATTTTTTTTTTACTTCCACTCAGGTTGTTGAGTAAGAGAGTGCAATACTCTGATGACTCTGAAAATGGGGAAGGACAGAGAAAGAGGTTCCGTTTGTCCAGGGAAGAGGAAGCGACGGAAACAGGAAGTGGAGGAGTGATGCAGAAGAAGAAGAAAAAGAAGAAGAAGAGCTGGATCGACCAAGAGCTGTCCAGCAGTCACCCTCTGGAGGTAACGCACTTTACAGCAGTGTTTGAATGAACATTTTCCAAATCATCCATTCACCATATTGTTTGTGTGTCACATGGTCAGGCGCTGAAGGCGAAGCGCAGCCACATGTGTGAGCAGGAGCAGCTGGCGTCGGATCTGGACAGAGCTCTGTCACTGTCTCAGCTGAGCTCCCTGGGCGTGTCCTGCAAACTGACCTCTAACCCGAAGTCAGAAAAGTCAAAGGTCAAGACAGCGGAAAGTCGGAATAAGGAGCGAGCCGTTCATTCTTCTTCTGTCAAAGGGGGGAAACACAAGACGGCAGCCAAGGCGGCCGTTTCAGAGACTGTCCCGAAAGTGAAAGGTCAGAAGAAGACATCTTTGTTCTCACCTGTGAGGTCAGAGTTCAGCAGCTGCTCCAACAGTGAGTACCTGAAGTCGCACCTGTGTCCAGATGGACACAGAACACTTGTAAAAGGCCATTAATTCATGTTTTCAAAAAAGGGTCATTCTAATTAAATGAAAGGTATACGAGAGAGTAAGGTGCACTTTCTCCGTTTGCCACAGGAGGCACTCTTAACAAATTTTAAATGAGCTTGGTTACTTTCTCTGGTTTTCGATTGATTTTTTTTTTTTCTCCCCCTTGTCATTTGTTAAATTAATAACCACACTTTTCTTTTTTTTTTTCTCCCTCCTTGTCACTTGTTAAATTAATAACCACACTTTTCTTGCACCAGACTCAGACTCAGAGGAGCACAGTTCGGATCGAAGGGGCTGGCCCCCTCTCTCAGGGACACATTCCCACGGTAACCCGACCAGAAAGCGGCGCTCCGCATCGTCGCCGACGTCCCTGCTGTCCAGTCAGAGGTCTCAGAAGAAGAAACACAAGCACTTATCTCTGCTGCTGCAGGAGGCAGACCTCAGCTCCTCTGACGACTCCTTCGACCAAGGTTACTGACCAAACCTCCTTCGCTGTTGAGTCCGACAGTGTTGTCTTTAAGGCCTTGTCAAAGCTTGTGTCTGTGTTTGCCTTTCGGCCGTCGTTCTCAGACTGTGCTTTAGCTCGATGAGCTCTACCTCTTTTGCCGCTGGCTTCTCTGCAAAGTTGCCTTTTGAAGAAAGGAGAAAAAACAGAGTTAAAACTATTTCTATGGTGTTTTTTTATTGCCTGGATTGCAAATCATTTTTGTAGCATTTGTACATTTTGACAAATTGTGTGAACTGTGAGATTTTGCTGTACTACAGATTGGTACCCAAAAGCTTTATTAAAGGTGTTGATATGATTGGTACAGAAAGCCCAGCGCTGTGGTCCTTGTGTCTGCTTCATCTGTCTGTCCGTCTCTGTCAGTCTGTCCAGCTGCCACTGCACCTCACACATCTTTTAGTGCTCTGTTAGTCAAATATCCCTTCAGTTCACACGAAAAGGTTTTACTTTTGTGAAACACGATCTCAGAGCACGCAGAATTGAATCTGACCAGCGGGCGTTATGGCGAAGAAATTTCAAATAAAGACAATTTGGTGACAGTTTATCTGGTGTTTCATGTTTACGTTAAAACCTAATGTGATGGATGATGTGGCCTGGTGTTCCATGATGTGGGAATGTGGAAGGAAGACGAACCAAAAGTGATTGTGGTAGATGTTGGGGATATTTGGACAATAGAGCTTCTGTGTCTGTCGCTACTAAACCTTCAAATAACCCTTCTCCCTTTATGTTGCTCTCAGATACCTTGCTCTGTCCACTCTCACCACTGTCCCACCCGACCTCTGACCCCGCACTCCTCTTCATACCTCTCCTATGCTTTGAGTGTCTCTCAGCCTGTTCCATGTGCTTGTGCTGCTGCCACTGCGACATTACAGAGGCTTGGCAAGGACTAGCGCAGCCTTGAGCCTGCGCTAACCTCGCTGCGGCTAGTCTACTGTGGCTAAAGCTTTGCTTGAGCTAGACTTTGCTAAGGCCAGGCTGCGCCACGGCCAGGCTGTGCTCTCACCGCCGCCGCGCTGCCCCACCTTGCCTGAGGCCACACCCCTGTCACCTGCTCTGTAAGTAGGAAGTGCCCCTCCCTCTATTTGTCGTTGACAGCTAACATGGACTTGTACTGAAATTGATTTTGATTGATCACGATTAACTTGAATTTTTTTTTTGTTGGTTGGTCTAGTCCCTACAAAAATTGAACAACAGTGGTTACTTTCTAAGAAGTCCGTAGAGAGCAGCCATTGTTACTCCAACCCAGTTTATTCCACGGGGCCTCACAGGGCTGTCCTCAGTGCCTGCTTGTTGCTTTGTGTGCTTGCTGCAATTAACACCCTATGGATTCACAGTACAACATGATAAACATTTCAAAGAATTTCAACATCTTTTTCAAAATAATTTCTATTGATGTTGAGATTGGAGAAAAGCTTCATTAAATTCAAATACGGTGTTTATATCAACCAGTCATTGGAAAAATCTGGAAATATTTGGACTGTTTTTGTTTAACACATACCTGTTGTCCCACTTTATTTATGTCTATTTTTTAAATGTAATAATGAATTTCTCTGTTGAAGTCATGTGACATTTACTGTCTTGTGATTCCAACGACCTTGTGCTGTGCATTCATCCTGAAGGCTAACCCTCTAACGCCTGAGGAGATGCTCCTCCCCTTCACCTTTTAACCCACAGCTAACAGCTAACATCCAGACGCTAACCAACAGTGTGGCTGTAATACTCACGGGTGACGAATTGAAGCCAAACCAATAACATGTTGTGTCTTTGAATATGTTTCTTTTTCATCTGCCCCACCACCAAAAAAAACAAACAAAACCCCAAACGGCCGAAGCTTGGTGTTTCCTTGAGAACAATGTTTGACTGACTGTATGTCATATTTGTGTTGAACTGGCTTGAGATCTGGTGACTCATCAACCCCCCCACCCCCGCCCCCGCAGCCTCCTGCTGCTGTTATGGTAGAACCCACGTCCTTTTGAAATGGCAGTTGAGAACAGTGATCAGTCAGGAGCTCTCTGCAGTGATTCACTGACTGTTGTATTACTGGACTGAACAAAAGGTAAAGAATAAAGACCCTCCTCAGGATATCAGCCACCAGAGGCTCTCACTGTTTGTCCATCCATTGTGAACACGGTGTGGGATGAGTCATCTCACCATGTTTGCTGCTACATTGAACTCTCAGAAGTGCCTTTATCTTCACAGTCGGGGCTTCTTGTTTTTTTTTTGTTTTTTTTTCTCCCCCTTCAACTAAGATCTCAGAATAACACCCGTCTGTGTTGGACCGATGGAGCGTTCTGTCTTTGTAGATGCACACACTCATCAGATGAATGTGTTTCTTAATACGTTGCACTAATGCGAGAGCGCCACGGTCATTGAAACATTGTCCTTTGTCCCCGCTCCAGTCTCCCTCCTCCGTTTAATGACACCGTCAATCGATGTTCTCACCGAATCACAAGCCAGTTGAGCAGCTTATGACCGAATCAGTGCAGAATCAGAATCAGAATCGGCCGCGGCCTGCTCAGCGCTCCGCAGATTGGATTGATTGGATGTTGAGAGCTGACTTCTGTCAGAGTTTTAATTCGTCACCCGTCCGTGTTTGTGCACTTTGTGTCCTCCACGGCCCTGACTGAGGAGGAAGTGGAGTTTTTCCTCCTCTCTCAATTTGTCACAATGAAAGGCTGTTAATGATCTGAGTGACTTTCAGCTGCTTTAAGTGTGTGTGTGTGTGTGTGTGCTGTATCTTGCTTACACAGCTTAATACTAAAGGTAGGCTGCTGATGTTTTGGAGAGTGTTTCTCCTGGTAGTCCTTTCACTGGTGTTTCTGTTGGTATTTTGTAGCTTTTAATTATTTTCCTGTTTGATACAAATTTTGCAAAATTCACATTTAAAGTCTGTGTATTTCTGGTGTTTTTAATTTTTTTTCGCGGTGTATTCTCTGGGTTGACATTCAGAAAAAGAATCATCTCTGAGCTGAAAACATTGTTTTTTTTCTTTCCTTTTTAAACAGAAACTTCAGATGATGACGACGAAGAAGATTCTGAGTCTGACGATGGCGGCTGCGAGGAGAGCGGGTTGGGTATGCTGGCCAGGTTCGCAGCGAGCGCGATCCCTGTCAGCTCCGCCCCACTGACCCTCCTCCACGACGGCAAACACCGCAGCAGGCCAAACACTCTGGGTAAATGACAAAAACTAATTAGGAGTGACGAAGCCTCAACCCCCCTGTCCAAAAAACAGAGAATGAAATATGGATTACCTTGCAGAGAGTTTAGCAGAAATGAGAAAATTACAACAACAAAAAAAGATTCCCCACGGTTCCATTGATGGAAAATGAGAACCTTGTTTCTGACTGATTCCCACTGACAGCAGCACCAGCATTTATTCAGGATTAGGATATTGATCCATGGTTAAATATTCATCCATTTATAATTGTCACGTCAGGGTGCCCATAATGATTCCAGTTGTGAATTATGTATAAGTTTCAAATGAATCAATAGACCAGTCACTGTATCATTGATTTTTTTCTAGAAAATCTAACTCCTTAGTTTATTACCAGCCGCATGTTTATGAGCAGAGTCATCACCAGGGAGAGAGAGAGAGAGAGAGAGAGTGTGTGTGTGTGTGTGTGTTCCTGCTCTTACTGCCTGTGAGGACTTTGTTAAAATAATGTTATTGTTTGTGAGGATTAAACATCATCATCTTCAGGCCCAGTTCATCACACAACGACAGAATTACTGTCAGATTGTTTTATTATGTTTCCTGTAGACTTTTAATTACAGGAAACCTGTGGTTCACAGACTAGAATGAAACTATGATATGAACTACTTCAGTAGTCTAGTAATGGAAAAATAGTCTGTAATTACCTAAGATAATTAGCACTAATTTGTCTCCTTTTTTTTTTAACTGGTACCGAGGCCTTGTATTGTGTTATATGTTATATATGTACTATACTGTAGTACTAAGATATTTTATAATGTTCTGACCTTTGTCGCTCATCTGTTTCTACCTCTGTTAGGTTCATCTGAATGTGAGTGGTCAGACTCTGGCTCAGACCTGCGGCTGAGGAAGTTCCCCTCTCTGCTCCATGGTAAACGCTCTGCCCCAGAGCTCCCCCTCCTCCCGCCAGTGTCCCGGCGAAGCGAGCAGACCAGCCCCAACAAACGAGAAGAAGCACTTGTAGCCAAACGCAAGCCTCTGCCCAAGCCACGCCCCTCGCCTCGTTCTCCCCGACGGTTCAGCTTTGACCTGAGCAGCTCCGGGTTCGGGGGCTTCAGCGAGGACGAATCGTGGAATCGACGGCGCAGCGAGAGGATTTTCCTGCACGATGCCTCCACCTCAGCCAATCAGATTTCAGTCTCGTCCTCTGGTTCAACCAATCAGAACTCGTCCCCTTCCTCTTCCTCTTCTTCCTCCTCCTCTTCTTCCTCCAGCCCAGCAGCACCGCTCACCCAAAAACCAACCCCTAGACCCAAACCCAGTCAGCCCAGCAAAGAGGGGAAAGATTTGGTGAAGGTGCGTCAATAATTAATACGGCTCTCGCTCGAACAAAGAAAAGTTTTTCTTTCTCAACTCCAATCTTTGTACTTTGTTCCTTTTTGACTCTGCTCCTCATTCAAACTCTGGTTCCCTCGCTTTCCTTGTCTCTTGTGCATGAACTTCTGTGTGAATGTGAGTGTGTGTGTGTACAGGAGACGGAGTGTTTAAGTGTTTGTGTCAAAGTGCCAGCAGGGTTTCCCTGGATTTCACTCACTGCAGCTCTCCCCTGCTGTCTGTGTCATGTTGCTGACAAGAAAGGACAACTGCAGGCAGCCTAGCAACATCCCGCCCTTGTGTGTTTGAGTGTGTGTGTTTGAGTGTGTGTGTGTTTGTGTGCCAGCATGTAAATCGATTCAGCAAATCTTAAATGCCTTCACTTGTTTCTCATGCATTTTTTAACGGTGCGTCGTTGCTTCTGTGAAACAGAAAAAGAAGCTGAAGGACTCTCCTCCTCCTCCTCTGCCCGTGAGCCCGTCCAACAACTGCAGTCCAATCACGGAGAGCCCTGGGCCACTGAGCCTCAGCCCTGCGCGCAAGAGCCAACCAAAAGCCAAGGCCAGGTCCAGAGAGGTCAGTGGCCTGATGGTGGAGTCATTAAGGATGTGAACTTAATTATCCTGAGAGGTTCTGACTCTGGGACATTTCACTTAATAATTTCTAAAGTGCCAACACACACTGTAGTTTTTTCCTCCTGATGTTTCAGTGATTTGTGCTGGAAAAATGAACTGATTCTCCCTGTGTGGTAATTAACATTAACATTCCTGGGTGATTTGAAACAGTTTTTCTAAAGTTCCTGCTTAAGTGTCTGATTACTCACCCTCTACCATGAGCTTGTTTTGGCAACAGTGTAGACTGAAGAGGAAACATGTGGTACAGTTCACTGTGGTGGTGAAATAAAGAGAACAATTATGTGTAATTCAACAACACTGGTGCCTTAGATGTGTCAGCGTTGTGATGTGTCAACCTTGTAACTTAGTGAGTTGCCACAAATAAAAAATCCTGGGAGGTGTTGCATAAAAAAATTTTTTTTTTTTTGGTATTTTTGTTACAGACTAATGCATTGTTTCCCAAAGACTGGGTCGCAAGAATTTTTTTTTTTTTTTTGGGGTCGTCTTGCATCATGTTTCCCAGGAGTTTACGAAGGGAAACACTGGTAAAAAATATGGGTCCCCAGAAAAAAGGTTGGGAAACACTGGACTAATGGACACCAGACAGTTTGCAGTAAATGGTTGCTTCAGTGGAATATAAACTAATGTGTTTGTCTGTTGTTTTGTTTTGTTTTTTTTTGTGGTGCAGACTTCCAGGGGAGCAGTCAGCCGCCTGATGGAAAGCATGGCAGCAGATGAAGACTTTGAGCCCAACCAGGACAGCAGCTTCAGTGAGGACGAGCTGGTGCCTCCGCGCAGCCTCAGTGTTCCGGAGAGATCGTCTTCACCAGGTCGGCCGCACGCATCACACTTTCTCACACTTTCTCACACTTTCTTACACTCAACCCGAATGAAACGTCTATGTGAGTGTTGATCACGTACGTATCTCTGTGTGCACTCAGCTCCGGTGCAGTGTGTGTTGGACAAAGACTCTCTGGTGGATGGACTTCGAGTTCTGATCCCAATGGATGACCAGCTCCTGTACGCTGGACACGTGAACACCGTGCACTCCCCTGACATGTGAGTGCGTTCGTTAAATCCTAAATCAGAGCAACGTGATTGATGTGCAGCCTTTAAATAGAGGCAACACACATCTGTTTACACTATTAAAAGATGCAAATCAATCAGCGTGTTCCACTTTCTCTCTACACACAAACTTTGCTGGCCTTGATTCGCAGAAGTACCTGATGCAGGTGCAACTCGGGCCGATCCAGGAAAAACACTGCCCTGATTTGAACTGTCACTTCTTGGTCCACTTTTTCGCTCAGTGTGCTTAAGGGCACTGTGATATTTTAGGTACTGTTAATTGATGATAATATTTCTGTGATTCCTCTCCGCAGATATAGTGTGGTGGTGGAGGGAGAGCGAGGGAACCGACCACACATCTACTGTCTGGAGCAACTGCTGCAGGAAGCTGTAAGTGAAAACCTGAGGCCTGAACCTGAGCTGCTCTCAACAGTTAGATTTAAACTTAAAAGAAAACAGAAAGTTTAAGGTGAAGTGATGCCACATCGGTTGAAGA